CACTGGCCCGAACACTGCGAGTGCGCCTCGTGCCACCGCGCTCTTCTTTTTTGTCTCTTAATAGTCTGTGCCGACGTTTTTGTGATATTTACACGTGACAGGTGGCATTCTTCACTATCAATTTGACCTGCATTCATGCAAGTGTGCTATTGTTACAAGCTGCCACTCTAGCGTCGCCAGCGCGAAGTCAGCGACGGGAATGACAGCAGGTTGGTTCGTTCCGTACGCAAGCAGAGACAGTGAAGAGATCAGAAACGTGAGAAAACAAAACAAACTTTACTCTAGTGATATTGCAGCACACGGGATCTAATACAACACTTCAATACAACTAACAAAATACATCAACACTTGATACAATTAAAAAATATATAAACAAAACAATAAATCATCTTACGAGAGAGAACTATTACAAACTACACAAACTAACAATAATCGATTACAGAGTAGAAAGTTCGAAGATATAAACAGGTGAAGGCATGCGTGTGATGACCGGCAGCGTTGCGTCCCCGACGATCGGATGCGAGAAGTCGAAGAGAGTTCTGGCACGACTGCGATGTCGGCGGTGTTGCAACGCTGGTGGCTCCGGGAGGCTAGTGCTTGCAGGTGACTTCGAGCAGGTTGAGCTAACTCGAGGCGAAGTCCCGATGTCTACGTTGCAGACGTTAATATCGCGTCACAACTAGACGAACGGCTAAGTTTAGGTGGCCAGCCGATACAGAGCCACACTAAAAACTTCTAGAAGAGATGCTTGTTGATCTGTTTCTACACCATGTTGGTCAGCGACTAGTCTGCCTAGCAGGGCAAAATCCTGCGCTTAAATCCCCCTCGTGTCTCCTCGCTCTCTTCCTTGGGGACAAGAGACCTCTACATGGGTCCAATCATGTGCGTTTAATTGATGGAAACTCCGCCCCAAAAATATTTTGACCCCACCCCTTTTTAATTTGGAGAGGGCCCTCAACTAGCGAGAGTGACAACGCTTGGCCACCAGAGCGTTTCCCACGCTTTTCCCCGTGGGAACGGTCAAACGTTTGGCTCTCAGCCGGTGCATCTTGTAGTCTAATCCTTGTTCGGGGTATACCGCGGCCTTCTACGACCTTGCAGACGCCGCCGCAGTTACAAAAGGGTCGACTGTCGGCGGCGACGTTCTAAGAAGAGCACCCTATTTTGCACTTCTCGGCTCCCTTTCATGCGCCGCCGTTCTCACAGTCAGTCGGGGAGTACGGCGCCTGTTAATTGCCGTGACGCGGTGTCACCAAAAATGGCCGTCCGTGACAGCTAATAATGTTGCTTTTTAGGGCATCTGCGACTTTACCAAGGATAGGAGCACAGAAAGCTATTGCAGAATATCTTCACTCTCCACCTCAGTGGCACCTGGCCGTTGGCGCTGTCGGTGGTGATGTAAACACGCAGATGCCTCTGTACCCATGTATACATGTACCTGCAGTGATGACATCAGCTGCGTGAGCGCAATGCACCTAGGTGTAGTCATTTGCTCTCTTAAGGCCAGATGAGTTTCATTGCAAGCTGCTTGCCTGCATGGGCATGTGTTAAACCAATTTTCAAAGCGAACAAACGTGAAACGCTCAGAGTTTTTGTTTAGTGTGCGCTCACACTGCGAACTACACCACGTGTGCATCTATAAGTTCGCGATCCATAATACATAAATAGATGCAACATGTTTATTTTTACCGAATAATGTAAAATCTCCAGCCAACCTATAGTTCAAAGGTTTTAAATATAAAATTCAAGAACTGTAAACTGACCCAACGTTCTGGGACCGATTTGGTCCCTTCTTCAGGGGTGACTGTTCGGCCAGAGTGGAAGCTAGCGTGTTTTCTTGATAGTGTCACCCTCTCCATCTTCCTTCTTTCCGCCGTTGTTGTTGCTGCGGTGTTTTCTGAACTGGTTTTGTAGACCGTGCACATATACACTCTGCAAAGTACCAGTTGAGTTGTTATTATTTTCAGGTGTTGTTCGGATATGTCGGGACTCTAAGAACTATCTTCTTGTGTGGCTACCTTCCGTTTTAATGGTCTGGGGGTCATCGAAATTGATGTGATAGTTCATCTTTTCGCTGTGTTCTGCGAGCGCGCTTCATGTGGCGTTTAAGCTACGCATGTTGTTTCGAGGTTGTCGTAACCTTTTCGGGAAGTTTTTTGTCTCACCGATGTAAGTGGCATGACAGTTCATGCGTGGAACCTCGTAGACTAGCCCGGGGCACGTTTCTTTTGGCAGCCGGTCTTTTGTTCGCGGCACGAATCGTTTGATTGTTGAAACGGGTTTGTACGCCACCTGGATGCCCTTCTTCCCCAGCACCATGGACAGTTGCCCGCTGAATTCCTGAACGTATTGGACCCGGATGAGGTAGACTGTTTGGGATAGGCAAGTGAGGGGCACTGTCCTGGCCGTCACGTTGCTGGCGTACTCGGCGAATGAAACTTTCTGGGTATCCATTGTCCAGCAGGTCGGCAATGATCGCTTCTTGTTTTCTCCGCATTTCTTTTGAGCTGCAAATGGCTCCTGCGCAATTCAGGAGTGTCTTGACCACTGATGTTCTGTGGGCGGTATTTTTATTTTTTTTTCCTCACGTCTCGCATGCTGTGGTGTGTCCATTTTATCAGCTGTGGCTACCGGCTAAGCGAATCGTCTTGGCTTATGATGGCCATATATTCTACGATATAAAATTTTATGCATGTTTGTTTAGTAACGTAACTTTTCACAGGTTTCTAAAAGGAATAACTTCACTTTTATTGCAATAGCAATTAAGTGGACACTCTCGTCTGGTTTATGACGTCGGCGTTTGTGGCCGCTATTATTCATCATATGTGTATACATATATCTATGTATGAAGAAAGGCAAGAAAGAAAAATAATCTAGAAAACGAACGTCCGATCTTTTATTCTTCGGCGCTCCGATCCCGGGGCGGGAGGGGGAGAACATCAAGGTGCTTTCAGCATAATCAGCGAGATGGCGCAAGAAGCGCGCTCAACGCCCCGCTCGTTGCAATGCACGCTTATCTCCCTCGCGTACTTTGCCCCATAGAGGAGGGGGTAGACGCTTGTGCGTGCGTGCGCTTATCTTGCAATGCGGTTGAATCGTATGCCTCGGGCTTTCATTGGAACGATTGTGCGGTAGTTCCCAGGTGCACAAAGGTCACTTCGCACGCTGCAGAGGTCCTGTTTGCAAAAAGAGTGCGCTTTTCAGATACCTCGAAGTAACAACTGGGACACTCGTTCATTTGCACTGGTCTGTACTGGTAACTACGTTTTGTGATTCGTTTTTTGTTTAAACAGCCCGTTTAGTGTCGAGTTAGAAACATTGTTAGTTCTCTCTCGTCTTGTGTGTGTGTTGTTTTCGTGCGTAATTTGTATGTAAGCAGCGTGCTGCATGTTTCGATCTGCTTGCAGTTCTCAGTATTACTACATTCCAAGTTGTTGCTACTGCATTCATTGTTTTACTCTTACGGCAAAACTGAATTTTTTCCTGTAAATTTGCCGGCCTTTTTTTTTCTTAATCGTCAACATTGACATCGTGAACAAATATTACTTTTTACAGTGTGGTACCACCACATATAGAACAACATTCATGACTCAGAACGACATTTGAACCTAATGACATTAATACCTCCAGTGTGCCCGGTATTAGCTGATGAAGCAAATGTTATCCAGTGCTATTATTCGAACACAGTTGTCATATGAAATGCGTTCCGAACTAGATCACTTTATGAAGGAGTGCATGTGCAGTAGTTTCACCTTTGTAGCTTTCCCTGCATTGCCCAAAAAGTTGTCCGTGAGTATAGTTTATACGCTTTTCTCTAAGAGCCTGCAGTGAGAGTACAGTAGACGCTCATTGAACAAAACCTGAAGGGACCAGGGAAATGTGTCCCATTTAATAGGACTTACATTTACTGAGATAAACATGTCTAAAGAATTCAAGTAAGGAACCAATCTTGCTAGAGGAAGTTTCATTTAAGCAGCAGTTTCCTTTAATGAGAGTCTACTGCATTTGTGAAGGTGCTTTTGAATGATGCGTTAGTGTACTACTGCATGGTGCAAAGCTCCTCTGACATTTGTGTGAATGGTTGTTGCACCAGTTTAGTATAACCACTGCAGTAGTTCGAAAAATGGAAATGCAGTTCGCACATTCCAGGCCCAGATTAGCATGCAAAGCAGAGAGCATGGGATTGAAGACCAAAGTATTTGTGGTTTTTATGATGCTTTCTGGCACTGTTTTCAGTGGTTTTTATGGATGCTTTCTGGCACTGTTTTCAGGCTGGGCATTGCAATGTTTGGGTAAAAGAGAATATGTCTATGAATTTATAATGAACCATGTCACGTTTAGATCTGACACATGTACCCAGCTAATTCTTACAGTGACAATAAAGAAAACCGATATTTATCGCATGAGTAAATTACTCTTTCTCTGTACCAGAATCGCTTTGCTTGTTGTGAGAAGACGCTTGGTAAGTGAGAAAACTAAAAAAAAAATGCAGTTGGCGACACCACCATAAAGTTCCCACCCCAGTCGCCGTGACGTATCTACTAGGGCCTATGTAGCTCCTTATTGGTAAAAATGAAGTGCATTGTTCTCTGAATAAATCAGATTTGAGTTGCCAAGTTTAAGAAAATTTCATTGAGCCAGTGCAGCCAAAATAGAAAAAAAAATTGAAATTTGTTATGTTGCTTCAAAAATTTCAGTGACAATGTAAATGTGAAACTTTTGACATTGATTTTCTCCTGTATTGGTGATCCTATGGTGGTGCAATTGACATTAAATTTCTCAACATTGTAATCGGTCTAAACTCGTTTGTTTCACTTTGGTGTCCCCCTTAAAAGATGTATTAAGGTGTCATGAAATTATGATATTAACACAGCTAATACTTCTGCATGGTAAGTAGCTCCTTGAGTGGTAAAAGACACTTTATTTCTGCCGCCAGTTGTCCTGGTTCTTTCTTGCTTAAGCGACATCAAACTTAGGTTTTACCTTGACAATGGCCCCAGAGAGCAGCTGCAGTCACACACCCAGGGAGTGTAGACTGATGTCTGACACTAGCTGGGGCGGATGCATCCCGCCCTTCTCAGCACATCTGGCTGCCAGGTAGGCAGGCATGAATGGTTCTTTCTTTTCAAGCAGAATTTATGTGCACAAAAATGCTAATTAGTTTTTCTCCCAAGAAATTTTATAAACTTTGAATGTTAGAGACAAACGAATAAAGCACGTCGAAGGAAACCGATATACATGGTGATGGACATCGTACAAATGCCAAGATAAAGGTTTCACATGTCTCGAACATTGCTTGGTGTAACATAGTATAGACTGTTTATAAGGCAAGTCACGGCAGTTTCGAATATCTGCTCTGTATTGGTACTGCACTATGAACAGAACAGAATTTTTTAAGGGCCGAAGTTGCACGAAATGCGTTGAGCATGCAGCTTCGAATGTCCAGGAATCTAAGCATGTGATGCATAAATCTTATAACTGCTTAAATTTCTGAAAATTAAAACAATTTAAGGTCTAGAGATCCGTGTTGCCAATGAAATGAACGTGACAGGGGCAGGGGTGCTAACAAAAGACAGCACCATCGCAGAAATTCAGACTTCTCAGACGGCTTCCATTACGATCTCTTCCCTTCAATCTTTCTTTCAAGTGCAGCCACTGCAAAGAGTTGTGTAATACGATTCTGTACCCAACCGCAGCTTAAATTGCACGTCACCACTACCAAAATGCAACCAACAATGATTAGGCCTAGACTGGCATTTGGCATATTACGGGTAGTTTGTTCAAGACATGTAGATTGGGCATCGAAAAGATCGCACTTGAGCACTGAAACAAGAACAGCGCGCGTGACAGGAAGTTTGCATATGTGGCCGGGAATACAGAGATGACAAAAGCCCGCCAAGCTTATGTAAGACCGTGCACTGGCAGCAAAGGTGAAAGCTCATGTCATGAGGCCTTATACACAACTTTTAAATTCACAGATGAAGATGCGTATGAGATATATGTAGCTAGATTGACAAAGAGGACGCTTCTCTTGACGAAAAACTCTAAGCACAGTTGATGAGGCCGGCATCGCACGTGAACCGTGCGCGACTGTCAAGTGGTCAGAATATTCACGTCAGTGCAAAGGCTTATCGACACCTAGGCAAGCGCTCTCCTTCTTCACTCGGCGAGCCCACACAGCGTGCCGCGGTCCTTTTAAATGCGAAGCATTTCTTAGTGAACTTCGGTGACTTTGAGTGTATCTATCTATCTGTCCGTCCGTCTGTCCGTCCGTCCGTCCGTCCGTCCGTCCGCCTAGGACTTCTAGCTCTTCTGGCCATTTAGATAATCGTATCTATACCAAACTTGGTATGGCCCAACATGACTGTATGAAGAACATATTTGACTAGCCATAACATGAAAATCTCATGACATCTATGTCATAAATGTCGTGATTTAAATTCCATGGTCCTATAGCTCTTGCAGTGGTTTCGTTCACATGGCATATTGCAAAACTGGTATGGTATGACGTGATTGCATGGTGAACACAACAGACCCTAACATGAAAATCATGACATGCGTGTTATCTAACAACAAGACTACGGTACACGCTCATGATACGCTCGCGGCCGGTTCGCTAGCGTCACATATACCGAATTTGGTATTACGGTACGTGAATGTATGATGAAGGTATGTGACTCGTGCAAACATGATAAACATGAGATATGTGTCAAGTAACAACATGACTACATGCCACGCTCATGATGTGCTCATGCCATTTTGCTAGCTTCACATGTACCAAACACGGTATTACGCGACGCCAATGGATGATGAAGGTATGTGGCTGGTGCAAACATGTAATAATGAGATGCGTTTCATGTGAGAACATGATTACCTGCCACAGTCACGACGCCAATTTATTTCAACGTGACGCGGTGTTTGTGCTTGCCGGCATTCATTTCGTCGCGCCATGCCGGCGTTGCCATGCCAAGCGCCAGTTCTGCCATATACTTGCAGGCATGCGCCGCACTGCGTTGCTTTGATGCATGCGCATTTCAGCGCGTCCGGCGTCTCTCCATCACGAAAACAGGGAGACGCTGTGTTGTCTGAGTAACGCACCGGCGCGAAATGCAGCATGTCGCATTTCGCGCCGGTTGCCGATGGGCCGTGCCGACGGATGGTGGTAGTGGTTAGAAGATGAGAAAAGGCACCTAATTTCTGCAACCCGGTTGGGAGCACGGCGCAGTGCCTCCGACGGATGCTGGTCGCGCCTGGCCTATAAGTGCTCGCATTTTGCTAACGTAGCGTCGCTGTGCCCAGCGTGCGCGCGTCAACGCTATATGTTGAAGTATATTGGGCCCTTCATGACGCGCTTGCGGTCGTTTTGCAAGCTCTATATGTACCAAATTTGGGGTTATGTGATGTCAATAGATGACGAAATATTCGACTGGTGCAAACATGATAATCCTAGCACGCGTGACATGGAGGAAGATAACGACATACCACGCTCATAGCGTGCTCGCGGCCGTTTTGCTAGCTTCAAATATCCCAAACTTGGTATCACGTGACGCGAATAGAGGGCGAAGGTAAACGACACATCCAAACATGATAATCATAATACGGAAGTGACGTACGACGTCATTTACCTCCACCTCGTAACGTTGTGCTGATTTTAAAGTGACATATCAACATTTCTCATTCGTGCTTCGCATATCATCGATTCTCACTGTACGTGGGATCTGCCAATTTTCTTTCTATCTTTTTTTTTTCCATCTTCCTTCCTTCTTTGAGTCTGTGCCCCTTTTCTCCTTTGTAATGATCTCGTCACTCATTTTCCAGTGACTCATTTAACCTCTTATCAGAAGTGCACTTGCTGCTATGTTTGTCACAAATGTTTTCCAGCAACTGCATTAGAACTGTCTTTCATCTTGGGGGAGGCGGCTGCAAAATGAGTGGTATGTGTATACATGGTGTTCTATAGAAGGGTAGAGTTGAAAAAGACTGCATTGTACCCGTTCCTGCAGTCTAAGCAGTTGCATTATGAGTGCTTATATATGCCTTTATATATATCTTATATGTACCTTTATTTGAAACTTTCTTACACAAATTTCATCAAGGGGGGAGGCTGCCATCAGATTGTTTTGTTTATTGAGATATCTCAATTAAATTTTCAGGATAGATTAATAGCAAAAGTAATAGAAATACTACAAAATTTCATGAAGTTATGTTCACTAGTTCTCCAGTTACAGTAGTATGTCAGAATTGTGCACATGGTTCACTTATTCCAGGCCTGGAGAACTTTTAAAAGATACTGGAACTGTGAAATTAACAATGATGATTCTCAGATTGATACCTTAGGGGGTGACAGAGCTCTTTTTTTTTAATTTCCTTTTGGAAAAGCTTTAGCAGACCATCAAATTTAGTGTTGGTGATTGAGATATTATTAATCAAATTTTGCCTAGGTACCATAAATAACAGATGCATTATATTGAAAAAATAGGCTTGCCTCCCCCTCAGAAGTTTATTCACGTACATAATAAAAAAAAATACTTATGAAAAGAGGATGGGTAGTTGCCCAGATGTGGCTCGAACAAGCCGCCTCACTAGCCAAAAATTTCATTTTGAGAAAAGGACATTTGAAAGCCTTGGGCACATATGCAAATCTAAAACAACCCTGCAGCATAAGTGGAGGTGTCCTTTGGCACCCTCCTTCTTCACCACCTTCTCGTCTTCTCTAAGGATTTCTTCTTAGCTTTTTTTCAAGTGCAATTAATCTTTTTGGCTGCCCTTTGAATGTTGATCGCTCTCCATTGCCTGAAATTTCCGCTCTGTCTCTGGCATAGTGCCGAGTTTTTTTTTGAACAGCAGCGCATTGTTGATCTTCCGTCTCTTTCTCTTCGAACGACAGAAAACGCTTTCGCGAGTGAGCAATTGACGACGCGATTGAAGTCTCGGAGGCCCATGAAAGAGAGGATGTGGAAGCCTCTGTCGATGAGCACGAAACATCAGGCGCACTTGAAACATCAAATGTTTGCACCGGTGGAGCAGGAGTTCCGTGTCTAGGCGCGTCAATGCAACCACACTCTTTCGTAGATGAAGTTGTTGTTCCACATGTACTGTCGGTGGGATCACTGCCGGCGCACGTGCGAGCGGAGAGCCTCATCATGCAGACAACCTTTATAGATCGCTTCCTTGCACCGAACACTTGTTGCGTCTTCCTTTTCCTTGGACACATTGTAAGTGAATGCAACAACGGTCTCGTAAAGACAGTTTCATATATGGTGTTTATTGGCACAAGGGCCATGTGATGGCCAAAGAGCGCCAGATTAGATTTGTGGGGTTTAACGTCCCAAAACCACTATATGATTATGAGAGACGCCGTAGTGGAGGGCTCCGGAAATTCAGACCACCTGGGGTTCTTTAACGTGCACCCAAATCTGAGTACACGGGCCTACAGCCAAAGAGCGCCAGTACATGGGACAAAAGATGTGGGCAATGGGTATGATGACTAGCTGTATAGTGGCCTAAAAGACAGTTGAAAATTCTCTCGTTAAGACTTTCGAACATTGTTTCGTAAAAACGGTTCAAACGCGGAGAGTATGCAAACGACTGCAACAATATCGAATGGAACATTAAGAAAGTTCTGGGGACGGAGGAGCAGCAGACGACGGAGAGCCGCATTATGTGCAAGAGTACTATGTCATCGCACGCACATCGCCCAATCCTGCTCGCGCATCTCTGCCACAGGAAACTTCAAAGCTCTTGCAAGCCCTCCAATCATGAGCAGCTTGCTCCTCTCCTGTGCTGCCGCCATCACCGCGGGTGGCCAGAAAAGAAAGTGCCAGAATTCACAAACAAAACAACACCAAAATGACAGAGCTCAGTCAAGCGGTCGAGAAACTGCGATCGCGCCAAGTTCCGCTATTTTGAGCGCTCTTGTGCTGCTCGAGCACTGCGGCGGCTTGTGGTAAACTTTATTTCAAACAGTTTCGCAATGTGTTAGGCGTTGATATTTACACAAAAGGTAGTTTGTGACACTTACTGCCCGGTTTCGCAGAAATCAACTTTTTCGCGATTTTTCCGTTTTCAAAGGCCAGGTCCCCTCTTATATATAATGC